TGCTACAATCTGAATGTTTGGAAGCAAATGAGAAGCCGATAATGTGAGGTCTGAGGACTCACAGAAAGTTGGAAGAAAGGATGAGAACAGATGTAAAGGCAATTTATTCCTTCAAGGCAAAAAAAAAAGGTCAGATGCTAGCAGTTCCTATTATTTGTACAAGGACGATATGTAACGTAAATCAGTGATACTGTTTTATTTTCTCTTGCTTACTATTCTTCCTCCCCCACCACAAAAGGAAAGATCTTGGATTTGCTTTGCATCATCTTTCAAATTTCCAAAGCACAGTGATAATTTAAGTATTCTACAGCTCCTGATTAGGTTGGAAAAAAATGTTTTAACAGTATTCATATGACAAAATATTTAGTGGATACTTCATTATTACATGTGAAATGTTTTGAATTTTCTTAGCATCAGCTATTATCATAGTATGTAAGCATAAAAATGTCTTCTGAAGCAAAAACGATGGATTAGGTTTGGAAGGAAAATCACAGCCACAAAACAATGAATTGAGACTTGGAGATCTTGGGTTATAATGTAAATACATTACAAAGCAGGCCTTTTGTGCCTGTTGCCTAATTCAGGGCATTATTATTATTAGCCTTCTTAGAAAAAAAGGAATACAAACTTTGTCTCATAAATGAATTGTCAGATTTTCACTCATTTTAATAGCTAGAATCATTTTATTTTTTCCCTTAAAAGGTATATTTTCTTTTAATGACCAGGCTCTGTGTGCTGCTGTAGTGAAACCGGATGTTCTGGAAACAATGGCCTTGCTGTTCAGTGGAGCAGATGTCATGTGTGCCACAGGAGACCCTGTGCATAGCACCCCCTATCTGCTGGCCAAGAAGGCTGGGCAGAATCTGCAGATGGAATTTCTCTACCACAACAAATTTTCAGGTTCGTCCCTATCCCTGCATTAACTTGGTCTCTTTTGATGTATCTCTAAAAGGACTGAAGCACAAATCTGTTTATTTCTCAAATAGGTAAGCCATCAGAGTGAAGAAAAATGTAATTGCCAAGAAGATGAAAGATGCTTAACACCGTTTTTTCTATCATTTCAAACAAAAGTTTAGGAAATATTTTGTATTTCTTTAATCTTATAATGGAAGATTAAAATAGTTAATCCCACATAATCATTTCTACCAATATTAAATCCGGTTTTTATATATGAATAATACACATGACTTAAATGCCTATTTGCAAATTTTATGCAAAGTAAAATAATATCTTTCTATATATTTTTCTGTGGTAAATTTGAAGTAGTTTTTCTTCTATCTCACANATAATATCTTTCTATATATTTTTCTGTGGTAAATTTGAAGTAGTTTTTCTTCTATCTCACAACTCACTCGTATATTTATAAACAAAGAGGAAGTTGTTTGCATTTTAGATTTCAAGTGTGTTATTTCTTTAAATTTTCTAGATTTTCCTCAACATGACATTCATTCTGAGAGTGGATTAAGTCAAGAGTCCTCCCAGTCCACGTTCCTCTGTGACTTTTTGTATCAGGCTCCTTCTGCTGCTTCTAAACTCTCTTCAGAGAAAAAACTGCTTGAAGGTATCTTTTCTGCTCCTAGTAGATTTTGTTATCTGATAAAACTTTATTCCATTATCAGAACAATTAGGTTTAAATTTTGATTTTTTCCCCTTAAGATGTTAGATTTGATCTTGCAAGTAGAGAGATATTTTTTGAGGATTTATGAATGCTTCCAGGCACAGATATTATTTCATGTCCTGCAGCAGGGAGTGGAATGCTGAGCAAATTCTTAGCAGAAGTCACTGATGTCTGCCTTAGGGCCACCTGATTCTGTTTCATGTTTTAAGGGTTATTCCAAAAAAAGTGAAACTCAGCCCATCTTTTTAGGGATGGACACCCCAACTGGTGAGATAATATAGATAAATGTGAACGTGTAGGTGGAACTGACAAGTTTTCAGTACATATTCAATTAAAATACCAAGTGATGCCAAGTAGTTCAGTTTGTTCTGATTAGAAGTGTGTGTGTGTGTGTGTGTGTGTGTGTGTGTGTGTGTGTGTGTGTGTGTGTGTG